AGCTGCCCCGGGCGCTAGGCAGGATGGGCGGGGAGGAGCTGGTAGGGAGAGGGCCTGGAGGGCAGGAAAGAAGCATCCCTGCCCTCCCCATCCCATGGCAGTCTCCCAGAGCAACCTTTCCCCCACCCCCCCCCCCGCCCATCTACCTACCCTGCCACACTTCCCCTAAACCTCCAGGTCGGCTGAACACAAGTGGCCGCATTCACACAACCTGTGCAAGATCGGCGAACGTCCCTCGTTCGCTCGCCTGAGGAGGTGGCGTCTCGGGTTGGTTGTAGCGTATTGGGCAACCCAAGAAAAGGGGTGCCTCGGATAAACCCCACCTTAAGAAAAAGTTTTCCCCCCCCCCCTTGTGGGGGGGGGGGCTGTGTCTGCCTATCTGGGATCCAGCACCAGGGAAGGCAGGCGGCTGTGACCCATTGTCCTCTGGATAACTGTTGGCTTGCTTTGCCAATGCCTGTGCCAGCCTTCTTGGCGTGAGTGGCTGAGGGAGGCTTGATTGGCAGCTCGGCTCTCCTTCCCCAGGGGGCAGGTGGGCACCTCTGGGGCTGCACAAGGAGAAGGAAGATCGGCTCTCCCTTTTACCCCACCCCCACACTTCTCCCTCCTGGCCTTCCCGGCCTCCCCGTCCGTGATCCAGAGGTCTATTTTTTTCCTGCGATGTTCGGTCTCATTGCACGGCCGAAGGTTTTAATAGACGCTGTTTTCAATCCAGTCCCTGACTCTGGTGACAGGTGCAATGGGTCTCGGTAGGGGGAGGAGGGAGAAGAGAGGGAGGGGGGTGTTTTCTTTCCGGCCAGGCCTGGCTGGGGATCCAAAGGGGGGGTGTAAACAATCCCAAAATGGGCTCCAGTGTCTGTCTCTGCAGCCAGCTGGGATTACGGGCGAACTGGGCTTCTCACTGCATCCCCGAATGGGGGGTAGTGGGGGGCGGATTTGGTTACTGTCGCTGCTGCTGCTTAGCGCGTATTGGTGGCTGACCAGCCTCTAGTTCCATGATGGCGAACCTATGGCACGTCTGCCAGAAGTGACACACAGAGCCATCTCTCTGGGCACGCGAGGTGTTGCCTGTTGCTTTTCCAGGGTTTCCGCGCGCAGGCCAGCTGGTTTTCACACGCGCGGGAGCACCGGAAACCGGAAGAGCAGCCGTCCGGCGTGCTTGTGCATGCTGGGAAGATGATCTCCTGGTTTCCGGCGTGCACATGCCCACTGGCTAGTGGTCTTTGCATGCACAAGTGCGCCAGAAACCGGAAAATCATCTTCTCAGCACGCCAGAGGTGGGGTTTCAGCAGGTTCTGACCAGTTCTCGAGAACCGGTAGCGGAAATTTTGAGTAGTTCGGAGAACCGGCAGTAAAAATTCTGACTGGCCCCGGCCCCCATCTATTCTCTGCCTCCCGGGTCCCAGCTGATCAGGAGGAAATGGGGATTTTGCCGTAACCTTCCTCTGGATTGGGGAGGGAATGGAGATTTTATAGTATCCTTCCCCTGCCACGCCCACCAAGCCACGCCCACAGAACCGGTAGTAAAAAAAATTTGAAACCCACCACTGCAGCACGCACACGTGCACCAGGCAGCTGCTCTTCCGGTTTCCGGCACGCACGCGTGGACTCCCGTTTCGGCACTCAGTGCCGAAAAGCTTCGCCAACACTGCTCTAGTTTATCTTCCCTTGATTTTGGGGGCGGCAGGGGCTGGAAGCAGGCAGCTGGAAGACCCAGGCTGGATGAGAAGTGGAAAGGTCTTTGCAATGGAGGAAGGGCTCTTGGATGTGTTCATTTGGGGGTGGGGGGGGCGAGGGGGCAGAATTACTTCATTCCCCCGGAGAGGGGAGAGATACCTTCAAGGCATCCGCTGGCTTGAGAGAGCGGCTCAGAAACCCTTGGAGTTGAACTCCAGCTCTCCCACTGTCAAATTGAGAGCGGTCAGTACTGAATGCTGCAGTATTTGAAGCTGGCTCTTCCTTGCTTCCATCCGGGAGAGGCTGAAGACTGAATATGAGGGCTCAGCCCCACAAAGTGGCTTCGGTCTTCCCAGGCATTAGGCCCCCTTCCTTTGCATGAAGGATTTTGCATGCTTGGGACTCTGTGAGAGTGTGTGAATGGAGCGGTTTCTGAGATGATAGGACCCCCCTCTGCACCCAAGAGCTTTTGGGCAGCGCTGGGCACCCTATTGGGCAGGAATTTCCCTTGTCTTCCCCAAGGAGATAGACCTCCCTTCCTGCGGGCACCTTCTTCCACCTGTGCCCCCCATCCAGCGGGCAATGCCTATGCCAGCTTTCCTGGCCGGACCAAGGCCGCTGGCTGTCCAGTTTACAAGCACCTGGACGAGGCAGAGCCCCGAGTACCAAGATAGATGCCGTCAGGTTGGCACAGTGCCCTGCCCGCCTTACCAGGCCCCCACGGTTCCCCAGCTCCTACTTCCCCTCTTCCTTTCACAAAGGGGCGGCCGTCCAGTTAAATCCTCTTTTTTATGCCGGCAGCTCAGTCCTTTGTCCCCAACCCGGCCAGCCTGCAGTAATGTGGTCGGCCGTGTTTGCATAGGAAAATGCTGCTTTGACGAATTCCTGTCCCCGATCTGTAGCCCTGGGCAGCCCACTGCCCGGGCGGTGGGACTGGCTGCTTTGCCTTCACCTGAGTCCCCTTGAGGAGAGGGGCTGGTGGAAGTAGCTCTTAAAACCTCTCCTAACTCTGGATCATGACTGTCTGCTTCCTTACCCTAAACCAGGGGTCAGCAACCTGCGGCTCTGGAGCTGCATGTGGCTCTTTCATCCCTCTGCTGCGGCTCCCTGTCACTCAAAATATGCGTCACCACCGCCAATGTGCGACACCCGCCAGCGCACGATTTTATTGAGCTTTTCAACCCCTGGTAGGCCAACCATGGATAAATCCAAGAAAAGAAAAGTTTCAGAAGAAAACAGAACGCTTAATTCAACTACATAGGCTGGTTTTGTGGCCGCTCAAGAAATAGTCAGGCACGGGAAAGGTTTTGTGGCTCCCGGTGTTTTCTTTTCTGTGGGAAACGGGTCCAAGTGGCTCTTTGAGTGTTTAAGGTTGCAGACCCCTGCTCTAAACCAGCAGGCAGAAAGATTCAGGAGGCTGAAGGGGTCACAAGGAATCCTCCCAGTTGTAGCTGGGGAGCTCAGTGTGCCAATCTTCCTGAACCTGCTGGCGGGCAGGGGGCTGCCCAGCCTCTCAATCCTTGCTTTATCTCTTTGCCCTACCTGGCAGCACAGAACGATCTCTTCCCCACCAGGAGAGAGAAACCCAGGCAGACAGACAGACAAGGTGGGATTGAGTTCCTCTATTTGCTTTGCGGCCGCCGATGTGTGTGTGTTTGTTTGTATGTGTGTGTATGTGCCTTCTGCCCAGGTCTCCTGGTCATTTGGCATGTCCTTCCAGGCTCAGGGGCATCTTCTTAAACGTGTTGGTTTTCGAAGTGGCAGGCCAGGGTTGCTCTAAAAGACAGAACCTCCATCGCTAGGGGAAGTCTGCCCCCAAATTCCTAAGGAGTGCTTAGAGTAGGAGGGGGCTCCTTGAGACTCTTGGCCTCCCTTCAAACCTGGAAGCCACAGTTGCCAGCACAGAACCCCTTTCCGTGCAAGAATTTCGCGTTTGCTGCATGTTCCCCCATTCTTTCTTCAGGGATGCCCTGCGGCTGCCCCTTGAGTGGCAATCATGGGGCAAAGCTGGCAGCGGCTGCAAGGCAGGAGGGGAGGGGCCAGGTCAAGGAGAGTTTTCCTGCCGGGGTGCTGAACGGGCAACCTCTCCGGCCCCTGGAGTGAACGCTCAATCTGAGCCCTCTCCTTCCTGCATCGCTCTCTCGTTGTGAACTGTGTACAACACCTGGGAGGTGGGTTGACTTGGCTGCCAGTGCTAAGGCTGGCATCTGTCCTTCCCAGAAAAAGCTCATCCCAGGAAAATAGAGACCCTCCCCCTTAGTGCATAGGATTCCTTGGTCACTTACTGAACAATCAGAGGATTGACCTAACCAGGCAGTCCTGAGGTTTTGACAAATTCAGCCTCTTTTTGCCATTATGGCGGGGGTGGGATGAAATAACCAGAGGTGGTATTCAGCCGGTTCGTACTGGTTCAAGCGAACCGGTAGTGGAGATCATGGGTGGCCCCGCCCACCCACCCCGGCTCTATGCTGTCCTATTTAGGCAGAGTTTTGAGACCGGGCGCATATGCGAAAGACGCATGTGAGAGAAAGCGTATGTGCGGAGGTTCGGGCGCATGTACGGAAAATGTGCTTGTGCACCGAACCGGTAGCAACAAAATGTGAAGCCCACCACTGCAAATAACTTTTCCCGCATTTGCAAAGGTGCTAATCTGAATCGCAGGTCTGCAAGTAGGAGAGCCCTGTTTGGTAGGCATGCCAGCGTGGCCGTGGGCATCCCTTCTCCAAGGCTGATCTTTGCTCTTGCCTGACCTGGGGCGGTGGGAAATTCCGTTCAGAGCATCGTCTTCAGGTTTTCCGGGTTGGCTGAGAATCCGTGCCATCTGCTTCCCATCCTGCCTCTCTCTTGGTGCGGGGATGAAGGATGGCTGGGCTGGCTGCTTCGCGTGGCATTCCTTCACCCCTCTCCCTCCCGAGAGCTCTCGAGGTCCCAGCCCCAAGAGTCACGGCACCCACCCTTCCGCCCCAGAGCACTTTGAGGACCCTCGTCTTCCGCTCTCGATAGGTCTCTTGCACCCTTCGGAACAAGCTCCCTTTGAAGTCTGCCAGTTTGGGCTTTTGCCAAGGTGGTGAAGTGGCCGTAATCCCCTTAGTGCTGTTTCTCTAGGCAGGGAGGTGTTTTCCCTGCATGGCACCCGGGGTTGCAACCAGCCCGGAGGGGGATGGGGGAGGGAAGGGAGCTTTGCCCTCTGCTCAGCATCTTGCAAGCAGGATTTGGGCATCGGGAGGCAGGAGGAGGCTGGAGCTGCCTGGTTGTGATGCGGGCAGGAGGTGAGCCGAGGCTGCGAGATAGCCCCCCTCTAACCCTCCTCCTCACTTTTGCAGGTGGCTCAGGCCTCCAGCCGACTGGACGAGGCCTCGTTCCCGGAGGACACCGAGTCGGAGATCACGCACTGGTTCCGGAAGAGTTACGATAGCACTTTTGACGATGAGGATCTCCTGGCTGGTGGTCCCTCCGGAGGTGAGCCTGGAAGAGGATGAGCCAGGGAGGGGTGTCTCCCAGGGTCTTTGGAGACTGGCTGAGCTGCTTCACATGCCCCCTTTTGGCCCTCCTGCTGTCCACTGACCTTCTGGTTGTTGCAGATGAGTACGGCAGCGGAGACAACGGCAGTGGGACCATCTCAGTCGAGCCCCCAGGCAGCTCCAGCGAGTCTCTTCTCTCTACAGGTGAGTGCGTGCCGGGTTGGCGGTCAGATTGGGGAGCTGTCCGAGATCTTGTATAAAGGGAGGGTGGCTGGTGAGACAGGAGGGGCACCCCTGCGGTTCTCCCAAGTACCTCCGGAGCTCCGTTCCTTGGTGAAGGGTCTGGTTCTGGACAAGGCCCCTTGCACCCCGCTTCAAATTTCTGGGATCCAGGTTGGCGGGTCTGCAGAGCTGCAGAGGATGCTGGGAACAGCTGGTTTTCCAGTGCTTCTCGGGAGCCGAGGCCAAAGCTGGTCCACGTGCAAGACTCTCTGGCAGCGCACGGAGAAGATCATTCGGGGGCGTGGATGGGAAGGGCTGCAGGCCGGTCTGTCTGGAAGGATCCCTGGGGCCGATTGCTGCCTGTTCTTGAGAGTGTTCTAGCAGATGGTTTCCCTTCCTTCCTTCTCCCGCCAGGAACGGCCTTTTGGCGAGGGAGGAAAAGATGCTTTCTCACTCTTTGAGGCCTTCCCGGTGCGGGAGAAATACCAAAGAGGCCACGTTTGCTTTCAGCCCTCCGTGCAGGGTTAGGATCCCCAGTGCAGGGGGATCCCTCTGAGGAGCCTCGGACGGCAGCTCCCCTTGCTGCGTCCAGAGCCGGCAGCTGGAAAGTTTTACTGGGTGGGGTCAGGCTTCTTCTGCCTGCCTGCCCCGTGCAAAATCCGCTTCCCGGTGGAGCTCAAAAAGTGGCTCTTTTCGGATGTCCTTGTCCTTTCATGAACCTGGCTCTTTCAGCTGCCCTCAACCCCCCCCCCAGTTTTCATTTGCTGCTGCTCTTTCCTCTGCGAGCCCGACAGATGTGTGGTGTATGTGTGTGTGTGTGTGTGTGTTTATTTGTTTGTTTCTTCCCCCCTTGCTGAGAAACAGCAAGGAGATCTGGCCGCCTCTGGGCTCACTTATTTCGGACAACCGCGCGGTCCAGAAAGCAGAAGCCTGCCCCCCTCCCTCGGCTCTCTTGGTTTTTTTCCCGGGACATCTGGCGCAGCGGTTCATCAGAGGCAGCTCGGCTTCGACAGGCCAAGGCCTTGCCGATGTGGGTGTGTGTAGAATACGAGTGTACTCACACCCAATCTGGAGACGTGCCTCTCTTCCCCCAACCTCAGTCTAGCCATTCTCCCACACGTCTATCTGTGGGTCAAATCTAGAAGCCGGGGCTACTCTCAGACGCCTTGTGGCTTTGACTTCCTGGGAATTTCCCCGAGGTGGGAGGGAAAGAGGACAAAGGCCTTCTGCTCTGGGCTTTGTTGGACGTGGTGGATCTCCATGAGAAGCCTTCAGGAGAGGTCCCGCGATGGGGGTGGCTAGTCAGGGCTCCGAGGGAGAAGAAAGAGTGGGGTTCCCACGCGAGGTGGGCCCGGAGTAACCGAATCTGCATTTTGTCCTCTGCTTCTGGCTTGCACCTTCAGCTGGACGTTTCCAGATGTTTCTTCCTTTCGCCTTTCCCCTTCTTTTCTCTTCTCTGCAGACCTCCCATCTCCTCTTCTTCCTTCTCCTTCTCCTCTTCCTTCTCCTGCGGGGCCCCCTGCGCCTGCCAACCTGGCTGCCCCCGAGCCGGATGATGAAGCTCCGCTCAGTAAGTGGCCGGTCCACTCGGGCTATAGGATCCCATGGCTGAAGAGGTCAAAGAAATCAGTTCCAGGCCGGAAGTGCAGTGGGACCCGTTGTGCCCTGGACGGGATGGGCGTCAAGGCCTCACCGGGAGAGACTGGTCACCCCTCCTTAACACACACACTCCTAGCCTGACTAGGTGGCTCAGCGGCTAGGACACTGAGCTTGTCGATCAAGAAAGGTCGGCAGTTCGGCGGTTCAAATCCCAGGTCTCCTGCGTGAGCTCCAAGATCCCTTCTGAACTCTGTTACTGGTACATACACACCCGTTGGCCAAGCAACTACGAAAGTCCAAGGCCGACCCAATCCTGCTCTCCCCTCTATCCCCCCCCACCACAGGCAGAGCTAGCAGCTAGGGCTCCTTGGCGGCTGGCCCAGGGGTCAAACACGTTTTCGGCTTGGCTTGGCTTGGCATGTGATCAGAACTCAGTTGGGATTTGATCAGCTGGGCCAGTCCCAAAGTGACTTTTCTGGGGGCCGTGAGCTTTTGAGGTCCCCATATCTCAGGTGAAATACCCCCCCCTCCACTCTCCCCCAGTCTCCTGGTGTTCTCTACTCTCCCGTCCCCTCACCCTCCAAACTTCCCTGCAAAGTCCAGGGCCTCTGAACATGTCCAGGGGAAGCTGACTCAGCCCCGGAGTCCCTTTCCGCATTGTTCTCCTTCGCAGCTGAAAGCAGCAGCTCCCCGCCGCCTTAAAAGGAGGCAAAACTCCAGCTCTGCTTTGTGCCCCCCTGCAGAAGGACCGGTGTGGGGAAGGAGGGAGGGAGGGAGGGCCACGGCCGACACGGCAGGCCAGCCTTCCTGGCTTCCCCTCCCCACCTCTGGACCTGGGGGCCGTGGCTTCTCCCCCAGACTCACTCTCTCTCTCTGACTCACTCTGCTCTTTTGCAACTGCTGCGGCCTGGGTTAGTGGCTGAGACATCATCTCTCTCTCTCTCTCCCCCCCTCCTTTCACATCTGGAAGTCCAGATGTGTTAACAACACCCCCCCCATCCCACCCGCCCATCCCCCAAAAGCACCCTGGGGGGAGAAGCCCCGCAGCCCTCTCATCCCAAAAGAGCTTGTGGAAAAACGGCTGAGTCAGGGACCCCCTCTTTTTTTTTTCCTCCTGAGCCCCCCCCCAAAGAGATTTCCCCAGTCTTTCCTCTGTGGTCTCAGCCGCGGCACTCTGCAGGCGGTCAGGGGAAGCGTTTCCTTCCTCCGAAAGCCGAGTTGCTGGTTGCAGAGAGGTGTGTGAAGGAAAGAGGCAGGGCACAGGGCACGCCTGGCACATTCCCCACCGGGCGCTGTGGGACAGCTTGCCCGCAGGAAGCTGGAAAGGCCTCCCCTCCTTTCCCCCCCCTCCCTCCATGCCTTCAAATGCAGGGGCAAGGCAACATTCTTTCAGGGTGACTCTGCAGGCGGGTGGGGCCCTCGAGGAGCGGCTGGGCCAAGTCACGGGGGCACCGTAGGCAGCCGAGCTCTGAATGGGACCATTATGAGTGAGGGATGAACAACAGCCCCCCCCCCCCCCTTTGCTACGAGCGGCCCTGGAGAAGGGTGGGCACCCTGGAATCTAAGAATGTGCGGGTGGGAGGGGGCCGAAGATTCGCCTGGGCTCTCCGTCTCCCTGGTATTTTTCACCCGGCGTGAACCGGGAATGGGCGCTGTCCAGGCTGAGGGAGGCCAACCCGTCTTTCCATGATGCCCTCCTTCCCGTCCTGGAGCTGGGCACGGAGGGGAGGGGGGCTCTGCAGCCAGCCAGGTTGTCCTCCTGCAACTCTTCCCCCAGGCGGAAGCTCCTCCTGTCCCCACCAGACCTGGCTAAGTGGCTCAGTGGCTAAGACGCTGAGCTGGTCGATCAGAAAGGTTGGCCGTTTCGGCGGTTCGAATCCCTAGTATAGGCCTCCTGCGTCAGCAGGGGGTTAGACTAGATGACCTCCAAGGTCCCTTCCAACACTGTTACAATCTCCATGGCTGGCCTCTCTCCTCTCCCTCTCGGAAAGGGGGCGAGACCAGGGCATGATCAGAGGCAACCCACAGGTTCTTTGCAATGGGAAGCACTGGAGGAAATTGGGAGGCTGTGGTTGCTGTCCCGGTCGAAGGCTGCGGCCGCCAGCACTTGACACAGGCCAGCCTGTGGGCCTTCTCCCACTCCATCCCTGCAGCTGAATTTGGCCTCGGCCACTGGCCGTCCAGCTGGGCCTGGAATCGGCCGCTGGCCGGGCCTCTCGGCAGGCTGCCCTTGTGAAAGCCGGGGGTGTAAGTCCTTGGCCCCTTCTCTTCCTGGCTCGCCTGCCCCCACAGTTGCCTCAGAGGAGGAAAGGGTCTGAGGGACAGGCGCCCAGCAACGCCGGGTGTCCTCCAGACTTTCTCCTCGGGGACCGGAGAGATCGGACCCTCTTAATCCCACCCAAACATCTGCTCGGCACCATGGGCTTCAGGGCAGGGCTTCCTTTGGGCTCCAGCCATGCAGGCAGGAAGTTAGCAAAGAGGGTTGTGTGAAGGGTTTGCTCAGCACGGTTTCATCCCTTCCCTTGCAAAGCGAGGTGTGTATGTGTGAGCGGCACGCTTGGCACCCCCTGCAGAGGGTGGCCAGGCCTTCCTCACCCGGAGCCCCTTTTCTCCGCAGTCTACTTCCGGGCCCTGGTGAACTTCACCCATTCCATCGAGTACAGCCCCCGCCTGGAAGATGTCAACTCGGAGCCCTTCCAGGAGGTGTCCGAAGCGGTTGTGGATACGGTGAGGGCCCTCCCCTCTGTCCTTCTCCCTCCCAGGAGCAGATGCCCTGAGCTCCTCGGTAAAAGTCAGCCCTGGTTCCCTCAATCCATCGGCAGCAGAGGGCAGCAGGCCCAGGGGTTCGCAGGGGTTCAGGAGAACCTCTAGCTTCGATTCGGCTAAGGTGCAGTTCGGAGAACCCCCAAATCCCACTCCTGGCTGGCCCTGCCTACCCCTCCCCTCCCAGGAGTCCCCACGTGGCCTGTTTTGGCCATGTGTACAGGGTGCACATGGAGGCTCGAGCAGGGCGAAAAATGGGCCTACCAGGAGTTCAGGGCCTCCAGAGGGTCTCTGGAGCCTGGCAAGGCCGTTTTCGCCCTCCCGGAAGCTCAAGGAAAGCCTCCGGAGCCCAGGGAGGGCAAAAAGGCCTCCCCCCATTGTGGTGCAGGAGGCCGATTAGGCCACATCTACCATGGCCACGCCCACTCAGCAACTGGGCAGAGAACCCCTTGATAAAATTTGTTAAGCCCACCGTGAACAGGCCTGGCTCTTCCTTCCCTCCCTGCTGCCTTTTATCCTCACAGCAACCTTGTGAGGTAGGCCAGGCTGAGAGAGGGACCTGGCTCAGATTCCCGCAGCCAATTCTGAGCCCCCCTTCTTTAAACGATATTTATCGGAGCCTGGGGTTCTGAAAACACGTTGGATTTAAAATTACTCAGAGCTGGCGTCCCTGACGGTGAAATCCCCATGGATCACTGGGAGAGATCCCATCTTCCTCCTCCTCTTCCTAAGAGATCCTCAGATCGAACCGTGGTCCAGAAGCTGACCGGGGGTAGGTTAGAGCGCTGCCCCAAAAATCTCTGAACTGGTTTTTTTCCCCCTCCTCTCTTAAGCTGGAGTCTGAATACCTCAAGATCCCCGGTGAGCAGTCGGTCAGTGTGGTTTTTATCAAGTGAGTATCCGGGGTGCTTCGCGGCAGAGTTCGAACCCGTGTCCTCTACAGAAATCCCAAGCAGAAGGTTTACGCTTGTCAAAGCAGCAGTAGTTTTGGGGCAACCTGTGACAATTTACCCGCCGTTTTCCGTCCTGCCCCCGCAGGGAGATCGATGGCTACAGCTTTGTGGAGCTGGACGTGGGATCCGAGGGGAACACGAACGATCAGCAGATCCGCGAGGTGCTTTTCTCCGTCGTGGCCAGCGGGTCCATCGCCTCCTACCGCACCTCCCGGAGGGGATTCCAGTTCCGGCGCCTGGGAGCAGGTGAAGAAGCTGCCCGCTGATTTTTAACCAGAGGGGGGGCGAAAGTAGACGGGTCGGTGGTGGTGGTGGGAGATTGGGAAGGAGGGTCCCCCCTGCCATGCCGCTAACTCTGAGTTTGCTTCCAGCCCAAACCCCGCCTCCCCCCATCTCTGAGGCGCCGCCAGGTGAGTCAGGAGCCGGAGAGATGCATGGGGGCCTGTGTGCGGCCTACCAATTTGGCTGCCCGGAGACAGCCGTTCCCCTTTTCTCTCTGCACGCCCTTGGTCTCCCTGGCATCTTGGCCGGAAGCGAGTCTTAACAGGGAAGACACTTGTCCCTTGAGGGGGCTCCGGTTTCAGCAGCTGCAGGGCGCTCGGCCCCATAGATGGAGGAGGACGAGGGGGAGGAAGAGGAGGAGGCTGCTGCGAAGGCTGGTCTTTTGTCCTTCTCGGCCCAGATTTTGTCTGGAACTGGGAGTCCACCCACTCCCTTCCTCCTGCACACCGAGCCCGCTCTCCCTCCCTCCCTTCCTCCCTGCCCAGGGCATTTGCAGGCCTCCTTGCAAGCCTCTCCTTGTGCTCCTTGTGGATGTGAGTGTGTAGCATGTAGATCTTGGCCTTTGATGTGAGCAGCTTGCAATTCTCAGCCCCTCTGGATGGAGCTTCCAAGCAGGGGCTCCGTTGGATGGGCGGCGATGCATAGCTATGTAGCTCTAGCACACCCCAGAAGTCCAGTAGGCACGGCCTGCCTTCCCCTCCCCCCCCTCAACACACCACTGCCCCAGTTCCTTCCTTTGCTGTCGTGTTGTTGTGTGTTGCTGAGCAAAAACTGGGAAGCAAGAAGCTACTTGAAAAGTGCATCTTGCTGAGCTTGCCTATTGCTTCTAGACTCTGGCTGCGTGCTGTGAGGTTTGTGGGCGCTGCCCCCGATGAGCAAGGCGAGGGGTTGGCAGCCTGGTGTGGGAGGGGGAGGGGAGAGTTTTAGCCGGAGGACTTGGGTGCAATCACAACATAAGCGAGAGTGGCACATGGGATCTCGTTTGAAAGGTGCACTCCCACTCCGGAAAGGCCTTTGGCAGCAGAGTTTTAAAATCGGAAAAATCTGCTTCCCGTTTGTTTGCATTCCAAGGGTCGTGGCAGGGTGCAGATGCCCAAGACAAGCTGGAACCCAAAACCTGATCGTTGGGATGTCAGATGTGGGATTGTCCCCCAAGTCCTGCCCACATCACTGCGTTTTGTTCAGGGGGGCTGTGCTTCGAAGGCCTTCCCAAAGAGGCAGGAAAAGCATTCATGGCCTTTGGGTCTTTCCTGTCTCCCTGCCCCCCGGGCCAGATCACAGCCACCTCCTAACCCCAACCTCTCCTCCAGTCTCCCCAGAGATCCGGCCCTGCACGGCGGACGAATTCTCTTGCCTGAATGGGGAGTGCATCGCCCGCGAATTCTTCTGCGACCGGCGACCGGATTGCCGCGACATGTCAGATGAGCTGGACTGCGGTGAGCATTTGGCGCCGTGGGGCAGCTTTGGGCTCCTGGTCCCCTTCACCGTGAGGGTGTGTTTGTCAGCTGTGCTTCTCTCCGCCCCACAGAGGAGCCCGAGCCCCCCGAGTGTGCCCAGCAGGAGTTTGCCTGTGACAGCGGTGAATGTGTGCTCCGAGAGTTGCGCTGCAACGGACACCCCGACTGCGGAGACGCTTCTGATGAGGATGGCTGCGGTGAGTCTGTGTGTGTGTAGGGTGTGAGGTGACAACCTCTGCATGTCTTCCTGAGAATCCCCTGTCATTCCGCCTTGGCTAAGCCTCTCCTGTGCGGGAGGCAGGTGAACTTCCTCTTTGGATACAGCTGCTTTCAATCAACGCGGAGGTAGTCAGGTTTGAGTTCCAGGTGTGGTACGAATGTGACTGTTGCGTTTACCTGAAACTTATAGTAAAGGGAATGCATAATTAATTATACACATATTAACCGCAGCTAGAATTGTATTTGCACAAAACTGGAAAAGCCGAGAGATTCCCTACTGATGAGAATGTGATTAGGAAAATATTAGACTGTGCAGAAATGAATAGATTAACGCTTGCTATAAAGGAGAAAGAACAAACTGAATGTTAGATGACATGGGAGTTATTTTATGAATGGTTGGAAAATACAAATAGAAATTCGAAATAAATGGAGATCAGTGAAAGATAGAAAACCTGCTAAGACAGAGAAGCAAACAATATGATGATTCTTATCAATATGACTATTAAGATTATTATATTTAATATTATTAAATATATTCTTATTAGAGGATATGTTAATAGGGAGAAATCAATACATGCATTATGCTCATCATTGTAAGATCAGAGAATCAATATCAGTAAATTTACAGTGGTAAATTTTGATGCTGATTGCACAGAGATATCTGTACCCAGATTTATTTATTTTATTTTTATTTTATTTCAAATTTATATACCGCACCTTCTCCCGAGGGACTCAGGGCGGTGTACAGCCAGCTAAAAACATACAATACAAACATTAAAAACAATTAAAAGGATGTATTAATTTGGCCCCAATTTAAAATGACAAACCAGTTAAAAATATTTTTTAAAAATGTTATGTTAAGCCAACCCGGCTTGCTGGAAAAAGAAAGTTTTAAGGTGTTTAAGTTTAAGATGACATGCTGTTCAATGGAAGATGGAATGTTTAAGTTAAAAAATTAGAAAAGAGAAAAGAAAAGAATGTGACTGTTGCGGTTTGTAAAGCCGAGTGGCTGTGTGACCCGAGCCACGTCATGCCTTCCGCTCTGCCTACTTTGGGCTTCCTTCTGCACCCGGGCACAGGCGAGGGAAAGGCTCGTCCGCTGCCACTCCTCTTGACCCATCGCTCTCCTTCTCTGCTCCAGCAGAACTCGAGAGACCTTTGGAGCCTGCCTCCTCCCCGTGGCCCAGCACTGCCCGGCTCCCTGCCACCACCTCCCCCATCACCACCCGCCGGGCGCCGGTCACCGTGCCTCCTCGGGTGGAGATTTCCAAGACCCAACTGGTCCCTGGATTGCGCCCTTGCCCGAAAGACGAGACCCTGTGCGCCAACGGGCAATGCATCCGCCGAGACTACTTATGCGACGGCGAGCGGGACTGCCCGGATGGCAGCGACGAACAGAACTGCGGTGAGTCCCGGGGGATGCAGGTGTGTTGTGCGCTTGCAGTTGCGGGAAAGAGAGAGAGAGAGAGAGAGAACCGCAACGGTAACTCTCCTTTTGTCCCCCCCTCCAAGGCACCCCCTCGCCCTGCGAACCCAATGAGTTCCGATGCCGGAACGGGCACTGCGCCCTCACGCTCTGGCGCTGCGACGGGGACAATGACTGCGCCGATGGCTCTGACGAGCTGGAATGCCGTGAGGATCGAGAGCTCGGCGGGCGGGTTGTGGTGGTGGTAGGGGAGACGCCTTCTGCAAATCTTGGGTTCACGGGGGGGGCCAAAGCGAGGCGAATGCTGAAAACTAGGAAATCACAAACTTGGGTTTTGGTATGGGAAAGAATTGGCTCCGAATTAAGGCCTCGCAGGACCCCCTGAAGCCGTTCAAGCAGGGCAGCTGGTTAAGACTCCTGATGCAGAGAATGTTGATCCTCCCCCCCACTTCCTTCCTTCCTCCCTGCAGCCACCAAGGGCCCCGGAGACACCTGTGGCCCCGACCAGTTTGTCTGCCTCTCCAGCCACACCTGCATCCCAGCCAGCTACCAGTGTGACGACGAGGCCGACTGCCAGGACCGCTCGGACGAAATCGGCTGCAGTGAGTGCGAGGAAGCGAGCAGGGCCAGGCGGGGATGGAGGGATGGAGACCGAAGAGAGCGCAAGGGGGATTGGCTTCTTGGAGATCCTCTCCCGGGAAGCCCCAAAAGAGTCAGCCTTCTCTCCCAAATGGGCTGCCTCTGGAAGTGGAAGCTTTACCTAACCCTACAAGTTGTCAGCTTCAGTGCTGTCACAAGTATTGCTAGGCCACCCCTCCTTATTCCCCTCCCCTGGTGCCTTTTAAGATAATTCGCATTCCATTTTGCCCGACTCACCATCCTTGCCACTTCTCCCTGTGCCTTCCTCCCCATCTCCCAGTCCCTCCACAGGTCATCACTCCTCCAGAGGAGTTCATCCAGGCCACCCCAGGGGACACCGTTCGCTTCACCTGCGTGGCCGTGGGCGTGCCGACCCCCCTCATCTCCTGGAGGCTCAACTGGGGCCATATCCCCACCAGCCGCAGGTAGGCCAGCCCTGGTCAAGCCCCAACTGCTCCCCGTCCCTCCCTCAAAACTTCAGGGTGTGCTCAGTTCCTTCTGTGCCTACAGGGTGAGCTTCACCAGCGAGAATGGCCGTGGGACACTAGTCATCCAAGATGTCAAGGAGGCCGACCAAGGGGCTTACACCTGCGAGGCCATCAATGCCCGGGGAATGGTTTTTGGTATCCCGGATGGTGTTTTGAGCCTCACTCCCGGCCAAGGTGAGCTGCAGGAGGAGTCGGAGCAGAGCTGGAGAATGGCACCCCTCTGTTCCCGCTCAGGATGAAGAAGCCTTCCTCAGTTTGTCAGTTTCTGAGCCTCCCATCCCTTCACCATCTAGGACCATGCCCCGAGAGGCACTTCCACATTGAAGGGACCGGCCAGTGCTTGCCCTGTTTCTGCTTCGGGGTCGCCAAATCATGTCGCAGCACCGGCCGCTACCGTCAACAAATCCACCTCCGATTCGATGAACACAACAATTTCAAAGGTGAGCCAGTGGGGCAGTTTCCTCCTCCCAAGGACAGGACAGGGTGGTCTTCCCCTAGCTCCCCCTTGACCCCCTCGGCTTGTTCCATTCCTCTTTATTCCCAGGGGTGAACGTGACCACGCTCGATCAGCCCGGCACGCCTCCCCTCGCCTCGACGCAGATGCACATCGACCACAGCACGCAGGAGTTCCAGCTGGTCGATCTCTCTCGGCGCTTCCTGGTGCACGACTCCTTCTGGGCCCTCCCCAAGCAGTTCCTGGGGAACAAGGCAAGGGCACAGCAGATGGCACGCTCCCTGGATGCCCACCCATCTCCTGAGTTTGGGCACTCTTGAATACCCGCTTACCAGTGGTAGTATTCAGCCGGTTCTATCCGGTTCGAGTGAATCGGTAGGGGCGGCTGCGGGAGGCTCCGCCTACCCACCCAGATGTAATCACGTCCCATTTATCCATGTTTTTTACACTCTGCATATGCCCAGAAGGCCCTGCGCATGTGCCTAGATGCTCGCATGTGCAAACCAGTAGCGGGCGCATTCACATTTGCGAACCGGTAACAAAGGTAAGTGAATACCACCTCTGCCACTTACCCCTAGCAACCAGCTTTCCTCACTTTCCCTTGCAGGTAGATTCCTACGGAGGCTCCCTCCAGTACACGGTGCGCTACCACCTAGGCCGAGGACAGTCAGAACCCGTCCCGAAGCCGGACGTGGTCCTTGTGGGCAATGGGCAGAAGCTGCTTTACCGGCTGCAGGCGCTTCCCGAGCCCTTTGTGACCAACCGACGCCAGGTCCATTTCACAGAGGTGAGTGCCAGGGGAGCCAGGGATGGGGAGGGGGGATGGAGGAGAAGGAAGAGGAGAACATTTGTCTCTTGCTGGGAGGGTCTTCCAAGATGGACCCCGTAAAGACATACACCCCCCACCAAATGGAACATAACACTCCCAATATTTTAAGTGCCTGGAGATTTCATCCTTGTAATAACCGATTGTGACCTAGGCTTACTGAGTCATTACAAGACACAATTAGTCCCAAACAAACCTATTTTATTGTAACAGCTGAGAATTACGTTCGTTCCCAACTGAGTCCCAATTAATTGCAAAACAAGTCCTTCGGAAGAAGTCCTTCGGGATAGTCACCAACCTTTATCTTCTTTGACACCCTGCCAAAGGCCTTACTTGGCAAAGCCCCACGAAGTTCAGAAACAAACAGATGCCGACTGGAAACAGAGTTAGCAACGTTGCTTTCCTGCAAAAGACCCAAGTGCCATTTTTTAAGCCTTATGGGAGGGGCCAATCATCTCCTGGCCTTACTCCCGAGTCATCCCTTTTGCTTTAGCTGCTCTTGCCTTCTAGCAGCTTTGTACATGCGTTTACTAGGAACAGGCTCCTCCTGTTCTTCTGCCTCTCTGCTGTCCCACTCAGGGAGCTCACTCCCAGATGGCCCTGGCCCCATCTCTGCCTCCGACGCAGAGCCCTCGTCCGGGCCTTCCCCAGACTGCAGGACTGACCCATGTTCCTTCCCAGCCTCCTCACTGCCTGATTCCGCTGCCAGCTCTGCAGGCTGCTGGCGGACCACAACATAACCAAGATCTGAAGTAACTCTTGCTTGGAAGCGGAAACTGCCCTGCCCAGTAGGCCACCTTGGCTCCCACTTGTGGCGCAAAGAAAGCCACGGGAGGGCGAATCCACACTCATCTCTGCTTCCGGTTGAGATTGGCGCCGTCTGATCATGTTTCCTGCCTACAGGGGAGCTGGCAGAAGGAGTCCGGGGAGCCCGTCAGCCGAGAGGAGCTGCTCCTCACCCTGCAGAACCTGGAGGCCCTCATGATCCAGACGGTGTACGATAATCGGATGGCCACGGTGGGACTGAGCAACATCGTCATGGACACCACCACCACGGAGGTCACCGGCCTGGGTGTGGCGCATCACGTGGAAGAGTGCAGGTGCCAACTGGGAAGCGGTCTGGGATGGGGCTACTTCTGGGGAATCTCTAGGACCAAAAATCTGTTTGGGGGAAGAGGGCTTACTGGAGCACACATTCCCCATAACGAAATCTTCTCTGGAGTCAGATAACACTTTTGATTAGTTTATTCCCCGGTTTGTTGTGGGTCAGAAGGTCTGAATGGGGAAGAGAGGGTTAGCAGAATGTGCGTGTGTGTGTGTGTCCCCTCCATCATAGAGATGGGAGCCTCCAAGGGCTGGAAAACCAGGGCCACTCTAGGACTCCTCTAACATTTGCCTTTCCTCTTCCCACGACCCACAGCTTCCGCTCTGATCAGGGAGCAGACAATTTTTTTCGCACTAAAATATGATTTGCCTCCTCGCGCGGAACCGCCATTTTGTAGGCCTGTCTAGGATTCCCACAAACGTCGCGGTCCTCTCTTTGTATCCAGCCCTGGTTGTCAGTGCTGGAGAAAAACATTTACCCCGAGTAGACCTATCGGGCACGGCTGTGCCCTGAAACCCCCACCTTGACCTCTCCGGTGCAATCGTGCTTCCACCCAGAGTTGTTCTGAAGTAGCCAGAACAAGGACAAGCTTTGCTACTAACCCCTTGCCCGCTCTCTCCGCTGAGCAGGAGCAGTTGTAGCTGCTGCTGCTGCTGTCAGCTCTACTCATCCTACCTTCTGCAGGTGCCCCGTGGGCTACTCTGGCCTTTCCTGTGAACAGTGCGAGCCTCACTTCAAGAGAGTGTCCGGCGGCCCCTACCTGGGAATCTGTTCCGGCTGCAGCTGCCACGGCCACTCGACCTCCTGCGATCCCTTCTCTGGCTACTGTCTGGTGAGCGGCTCAGCACCAGGCATTGGGGAGGGGCAGGGTGGGCCCTAAAGCTTGCGGGGAGTGCTCCAAAACAAGCTTTAGACTTAGGGTGCCGAGTGGAGAAAGTCTGAGAAGGCACCTAGGGGGAATGGCTGGGAAATTTTTCAAGCAGCCTGTCCTACAATTGCGGTGGGGGAGCAGTGGTTAGAGTGCAGGATTGCAGGCTAATTCTGCCGACTGCCGGCAGTTCGATTCTCACCAGGCCCAAGGTTGACTTCAGCCTTCCATCCTTCCGAGGTCGGTCAAATGAGGACCCCGATTGTCAGGGGGAAAGATGCTGACTTTGTAAACCGCTTAGAGAGAGCTGTAAAGCACCGTGAAGCGGTATATAAGTCTTAAGTGCTATTGCTAAGTTTATGTTTGTTTATGTTTATGTTTTATTAAATTTGTATACCGCCCTACTCCCGAAGGACTCAGGGCGGTGAACAGGCACAGGATAAAATACAGAAATACAAAAGTTAGAAACAATTTAAAACCAAATTAAATAATTTAGCCCATGACAATTTAAAATCCCAATAATTTAAAAACAAATCAAAATTTCAGTTTAAAAATTTAAAAGAAAGGGGAGAAAAATTAGGCCAGGCCGGCTTGCTGGAATAAGAGGGTCTTAAGAGCACGGCAGAAAGTGCGCAGATCCGGGATCCTCCGTATCTCCGGGGGGAGCTCGTTCCAGATAGTGGGTGCCCTCACAGAGAAGGCCCTCCCCCTGGGGGCCGCCAGTCGACACTGCTTGGCTGACGGCACCCGGAGGAGCCCCTCTCTATGAGAGCGTACCGGCCGGTGGGAGGCTGTTTGTGGTAGTAGGCGGTCCCATAAGTAACCAGGTCCTAAGCCATGGAGCGCTCTAAAGGTGGTAACCAAAACCTTGAAGTGCACACGGAAGACCACCGGGAGCCAGTGCAGCTCGCGCAGGAGAGGTGTCACACGGGAGTGCCATGTTGCTCCCATAACCACCCGTGCGGCCGCACTCTGCGCCAGTTGGAGCCTCAGGGTGCTCCTCAAGGGGAGCCCCATATAGAGAGCATTACAATAGTCCAGGCGGGAGGTGACGAGGGCATGAGTGACTGTGTGTCACTCATGTGGTGGCATTGCACTGTTTGGTGCACAGGGCAAAAAAAAAATTAAGATTTGCAAAGCTGGGACACAGACACATACCCCAAGTCCTTGTACTCCTCTGTCATGCCACCCCCCGCACCCCTCCAAGCACACTTCCCCTTCTCGCCTGCAAACTCCCCAAATGCATCTATACTGAGTCCGGGCAGCCCCAGTGCATGAAACTCTGTGGAGGTCCCAGATCCAAAAGGCAGTGATTCTTGGACCGGAGGAGAGTCCGGCCTCTCACGGTCCTTTCCTGACCCTCCTCCTCTCTCTTCCTTCAGAACTGCCAGCACAACACCGAAGGACCACGATGCGACAAATGCAAGCTGGGCTTCTTTGGCGATGCCACCCAAGCCACCCCGACGGCCTGTCGGCCTTGCCCGTGCCCGTACACCGAAGCTCCGCGCAGGTAAGGGAGGGGCGGGGTTGTCTAGGGGGGAAGTGCTTGGGGCAGCTTCAGCATATATCTCTGCGCAGATTTCTGTACTGCGCCATGGTGGCGCGGTGGTTACAGTGCAGTACTGCAGGCTCCTTCTGCTGACTGCCGGCTGCCTGCAGTTTGGCAGTTCGAATCTCACCAGGCTCAAGGTTGACTCAGCCTTCCATCCTTCTGAAGTTGGTAAAACGAGGACCCAGATTGTTGGGGGCAATAAGCTGACTCTGTAAACGGCTTAGAGAGGAGTGTGAAGCACTGTGAAGCAGTATATAAATCTACGTACTATTGATATTGGATGTTGTCGTCCCCATTGCCTTCCCACTTCCGCAGGAAAGAAAACTAAACTCCCAGGGGCTGAGAGAAGCCAGGTTCCCTTCTCCTCCCCCCACATACACACCTTTCCACAGCCATCTTCAGGTGCTGCACTGGTGCAACCTCTGCTCTTTGAGTGAGCTGCGCCAGTGGGGCTCGCTGGAGGCAGGACAGAGCTCCCTGGCAGTCAGCCTTAATGACGTTTTCCCTCTGGCAGGTTTTCCAACTCTTGCTTCTTGGATACGGACAGACAGGCGACCTGCGATGCCTGCTTCCCGGGCTACACAGGACGCCGCTGCGAAAGGTAAAAGACGCAGAGCTCTTGCCTCAACCCGCCCCACTCCAGAAGTGCGGAGCCGCAGCAGTCGCTTAGTGCTAAGTTGCGTGGGGGGGAGGGGGAGGTTATGGTTAGGTGACATATCCGAGGGAGGGCTTTCCTTTCGAGAGGGGGGTGGTCTCTGACCAGTGGTGGGATCCTTCCAGTTTAACAACTGGTTCGTTGATCGCGCGCAAACTGTGCGCATGCGCAGGTCCACGAAAAATCACCTTCCATGTTAGTGTTAGGGAATTAAAACAGCTGAGGCACGGCTATCTGCTCTGCCGAGCTAAATCAGCTGCGAAGATAAAGGTAAGTATCCAAGCTGATTGTCGGAACCCAGCTGATTGTCGGAGCGAACCGGTTTGCTCCCAGCTGGTCATCAGAGCTACTGGTTCGCCTGAACCGATCCGAACTAGTAGAATCCCACCCCTGCCTCTGACTGGCTGTGTCCATCCCTCCCCTTCCCAGGTGCGCTCCTGGCTACAAAGGCAACCCCATCCAGCCCGGTGGGAAGTGCGTGCTGATTGGAGGAGACATCGACGTTCCAGGTAACCTCCTTGGGATCCCAGAGGGCTATTTCAAAGTCCCTGAAGGCCCGGTGGGACTGACTGTCCTCGGGGAGAGGGGAGGATGTCGAGAAAGCCTTTGTCTTGCCGTTATGAAATTTCTGCTTTCATTCGAACTGTTGTGTGGGGCTCTTCTTGGGAGTCCCATCTCAGAGCAAACCCATCTCCCGGAAGCCAGCTCCTTGGCCTCCCTCATCCTCCACAGCCAGCCTCACATCCCAGAGAGAGGGGTAGTGTGTGAAACTAGGCTGGGCCTGAAGGAGGCGCTCTCCTCTATTTGCTTGTGTCTCTATAGGGGAGGAGGTCATCTGCGACGAGCGAGGGGGCAGGAAGGCTTCGAATGGGGGCTGCCGCTGCAAGGTAAGCTGATGGCACTGGGGGCGGAGCACCGCTTTAGGAAAGGAGGCAATTTGGACGCGCGCGCGCGCGCACACACACACACACACACACACACACACACACACACAAACACCTGTTTCAAAACCCAGCTCCTTCCCCAAGAGGTTGGTACCTCTGGAACAGTGAAGTGGTCTGGAGCTCAGCCAAATGAAAAGGGAGGCTTCTGATTCGGATTTTGGATGCTGAAATTCCAAATTAGGAGGGACTCTGTGTGTATACGTGCAATCCAGGGGTGGGATTCTACCGGTTCGGACCGGTTCGGGCAAACTGGTAGCTCCGATGGTCAGCTGGGAGCGAACCAGTTCCCCGCCCGCCTGCCCACCCCTGCACTTTACTTATCTTTATCTTCGCAGCTGATTAGCATGGAAAAGCAGATTTGCTGCGCCTCAGCTGTTTTAATTCCCTAGCACAGGGGTCGGCAACCTTAAACCCTCAAAGAGCCACAGAGGTCTTAACCGGAAGCCCCCTGTTCAATTCTGGAGCCAACCGGAAGTCCGATTTCCCCATCATAGAGTCTCCTCCTAGTGTGGTGTCCTTTTTCCTCTACCTGTCCGAACCAAAAGCCCTATCAATTGTGGAGCCGAGTGGAAAACCCGTCCCTTGCCATAAAGTCTCCTCCTGGCACGCCATGCTCCCCCCTCCCCCCACTAACCGGAAGCTCCTCTCAAAATTGTGGCGCCGACTAGTTACAGGGAGCCGCAGCAGAGGGATGAAAGAGCCACATGCGGCTCCAGAGCCACGGGTTGCCGATCCCTGCCCTAGCACTAACATGGAAGGTGATTTTTTTTGTTGAACTGTGCACACGCCTGCAGCACGTGATCACTGAGCCGGTTGTTAACCCGGAAGGATCCCACCACTGGTGCAAGCACACACCAGTCCACCCTCAGGAAAGAGTTGTGCCGAGCAAACTGTGGCCTCGGGGCCCTTGTTTCCCTTTCGAACGTCTGAATCCGAGAGGGCGTGAGATTAAAATATTAGAAAGCGTTTGCCCCTGCAGAATGCCAATAGGAGGATCTGTTTGGCAGAGCCCCCTCCTTCTGGGGGGAGGGTCCATGGGGGATGCCCGGAGTGTGAAAAGGCTGACCGGGAGTCAACAAACGGGCTGCTTGGCTTAAGGTGGCTGGGTGACCTCAACCATCCCCGTTTGGCAGCCGAGGTTTAGGGCGGAGGCCGTTTACAGAGCCGGCCACTGTTTTGGCACCCCGTGTGAACTCTCTGTCTCGCTTCTCTCTCTCACCAGCCGAACGTCCAGGGGCCGTCCTGCAACGAGTGCGCCACGGGCAGCTTCCACTTGAGCCACAGGAACCCCGAGGGCTGCCTCCGCTGCTTCTGCATGGGGGTCTCACGCCAGTGCGCCAGCTCCTCTTGGAACAGGGATCAGGTAGATCCCTCGGGACTGACTCCTTCAAGGAGGGGTGGGTGGGAACGGGCAACCCCCAGGAAGGTGCAACTAACTCCAAGGTCCTTTTTGGAATTGACCCCCCCTCTTCGTTCCTGGATCTAGGTGCAGCTGACTCACGAGGATGCCCAGAGGGGGCAGTTCAGCCTCGCCAATTCTGCCAACACCCGGACGGTCAGCGAGGGGATCCGCTTTACGGAGGGCTCGGAGCTCACCTTCTCTTCCTTCCACATTCTGCCACGGGACGTCTACTACTGGGTGCTGCCCGAGCGCTTCAGGGGAGACAAGGTGCTTTGGGGGAGGGAAGAGAAGAGCGGGGCGGGGGGGGGGGTTCAGATGGAAGGTGGGGTCCTTCCTGTGCTGACTGACCCTCCAGGCTTTCCTCCCCTGAAAGTAGCTGTCCTTAAGCAGCGTCTACAGATGTAACCAGAGTTGTTGGTTAACAAGATAGACATCAAATCAGTTTCATAATAAAAATAAACACAGGCAGTCCTTGATTTACAACAGTCCTCATTTAGTGACCGTTCAAATTTACAACAGCATAAAAAAAAGTGACTTATGACCAGGGTGGATTTGATTTAAATCGAGTTGATTTAAATCACGATTTAAATCACGATCTAAATCACTAGTAAAAAGGCTTGATTTAAATCAACTCGATTTAAATCGTAATTTTTAAAGAGCAACTGTCATCTCTGCTACTCCTTTGACCCACTGTTGACTCACCGATAGTCCCAGTGTTGCAGAATATACAGCCTCCTGCTACATAACTAAGCTCCATTTCATGCTGAATAAACTGTTTATGTATCTTAAATAGAAAACTATCTTACGATAGATTTTTACCCCAAAAGTTTTTTATTAAAATAAATTCGATAAAAATCAAAAAAATCTGATTTAAATCAAAAAAATCTGATTTTTTTGATTTTTTTAAAAAAAATCATTGATTTTTATCCACCCTGCTTATGACCGATTTTCACATTAGCGACCGTTGCAGCACCCTCCCTGATCGAAATTCAGACGCTTGGCAACTGACTCCTATTTATGACCGTCGCAGCGTCCCCGGGGATCACGGGATCCCCTTTTGTGACGAGCAGAGTCCACGCACGGGGCATCTGCCAGAGTCACTGTGTGACTCACTATAGCAATTCACTTAACAACGCTGCCAAGAAAGGGCCGTAAAATGGAGGCAAAACTCACTTGAAGAAATGTTTCATTCAGCGACATACATTTGGGGCTCTGTTGTGGGTCGTAACTCGAGGGCTACCTGTACAGATTTCAATCCTGGGGCTCCCCCTGGTGGAAAGATTTGAGGGGACCCAGCGCTGAGCCTGATCTCTGCTCCGTCCCCAGGTGACCTCGTACGGAGGAGAACTCCGCTACACCATCAGCCACGATGCCTTCCCCGGCTCTCCTCTGCTGCGTGGCCGGGCCGACGTTCTGATCCAGGGAAACGGCATTTTCCTGGAACACGTGGCTGCAAGCACCCCTCTGCCCGGGGAGCCAACCACCTTCACTGTGTCCTTCCGGGAGGTGAGAACCTAGCTCCGTGTTGGGGAACCTATGGCACATGTGCCACAGGTGGCACAAAAGAGCCCTCTCTGCAGGCATGCGAGCCGTCGCCCAGCTCAGCTCCACCCTACATGTGTATGCGCCTCCTGCCAGCCAGCTGATTTTCGGGTCTCTGCCGCGCATGCGTGGGGGTCGGGGTGCATGCGGGAGAAACGTGCATGCCCACGGGGGCAGGGGGTAATGCGCACATGCGTGAGGCAGGGGGAGCGCGGGAGGTGCCATTTTGGGCCTAGCAGGCCTCCCTGCAGCTTCCTGGGACCAAAAACAGGCCGCGGGGACTCCCCCACGGCCCGTTTTTGGTCCCAGGAGGCTGCAGGGAGGCCTGCTAGGCCCAAAACTGGGGGCGGGGTGGTGTGTGTATGGGGGGTTTGCGTGCGCAGGGGGCAAGGGAAGCATGGGGATGGTTGCACACATGTTATGGGTGTGGGCACGCTTTCGGCACGCGACAACAAAAAGGTTAGCCATCACTCACCTAGCCTGTCAGGAAGTAGCCTTAGATTCTCCTTGGGCCTTCGGTTCATCTGCCCAGCCACAGAGGCAATTCAGCCGCCACCGCTGCCACACAGTTGGGGGGAGCCTCTGTGCAAAAGGGAGGCTGTGTGTGTGTGTGTATGTGTGTGTATGTTTGTGTTGTGGTTTTCATTTCCCCAAAGGCAGCATTCACACACATACCCAACTTCTTTATTAGCAAGCATGGCACCGTGCCGATGGGCAGAACGCCACTCGGCAGCACCTCCTGATGGCGCTGGCTGACATAGATGTTTTCATGATCCGGGCCTCCTATGCCGAGCGACCTTCCGAGACCAGGTAAGAGGGGGCTGAAGGAGGCCCTGAACTGTGCCGGACAGGAGGGAAGCCAAGGGGCTTGTGGGTGGGTGGGCTCTTGATGGCTCATCGGTCATTCCTGCCTTTCTCCAGGACTTTCTCTTAAATTGGTTTCATCCAACAGGATCTCCAATATCTACATGGATGTGGCAGTACCACACGCCACAGGCCTGAGCCCAGCCCCGGAGGTCGAGGAGTGCACTTGCCCGCCCGGCTACCGAGGGCCATCCTGCCAGGTGAGCAGCTGGTGGGGAGTGGGCATTGTTCCCTGAGCCTGGCGGAGGGGCTGTGTGGAGAAAGCACCCAGCAAGTGGGTGTTGTGGCGTGCCAGTGGCCAGCAGAGCTGGTAGCAGATTCGGACAGTGAGGAGACTGGGGAGGAAGATGGGCCAGTCCTGGAGTCTGGGGAAGGCTCTGATGAGGGCTCTGCATTGGAAGCAGAGAGGGGGCCAGGACCGCATGCCAGTTATCAGTTTCCTTCGGAGTTGGACATTAGTGGGGCAGAAGAACAGCTGGAGCCTGTTCCCAGTGTGCACATGCACAGAGTTGCCAGAGGAAGGGAACAGCTAAAGAACAAAGGTCGACTTGGGAGTAAAGCCACAGGTGGACGATGAATGGCCCCTCCCAGAGGGAATAAAAGAGGAGCGAAAGGGGAGGGGAGTTTGCAGGAGACAATTAGTTTGCTTAATTGGTTCGTGACTCCTTGCCAAGTTTTGAAGATATCAGCCTGGCAGCTCTCCAAGCCAGATAAGGTCTGTGACTGTCAATTCTCCCTTGGAAGACTTTGCTGAAGGTGAATGAGAGGAATTCACAGTCACTTAATAAAAAGGGGTTTTTGTCGGGATCAGGAGTCTACTTTGTGGTTTGGGAATGCCTAGGTCAGAACAGTGGGGCAGCCCAGAGCCCAGCTGATCGTCTTCCCGTCTGCTGCTGCTGAGTTGCCCCTTCCCTCCTGTGTTGCAGGACTGTGACATTGGGTACACCCGCAGCACCAGCGGCCTCTACCTGGGCACCTGCGAGCCATGCAGTTGCAACAGGCACGCAACCGAGTGCGACGTGGAGACAGGAGAGTGCCAGGTGGGTAGGCCACAGGCTGGGAGCAGGAGAAGAGGGTACCCCACCCCTTGGCAGTGCAAGGAGGGTCTTGGACTGCTCGGCTCTCACCGGACCAGCAGCCGTTCCTAGAAGAACGTTCTCGGTGCTGAGGAGGCACCTGGGAAACTTCCCCCCCTGGCCTGGCCCTCGTGGCTGACCCACGGCTCCCCTCTGCTTTCAGGGCTGCCAGCACCACACGGAAGGGTTCCACTGTGACCGTTGCCAGCCTGGATTCTACGGAGATGCCCAACATGGGACGGCCGGAGACTGCCGGCCGTGCCCCTGCCACGGACCATCCTCAGCCATCCAGTAGGTGGAAGCCATAACTGTTGGCAGGCCAATCCTCGCCACGAGAGACCCTTTGACCCCGCTCTTCTTTCGCCACTGCAGAGAATCTGGGACCTGCTTTGTGGACGCCGATGGAGAGCCAACCTGTGACTCCTGTGCTCAGGGTTACATCGGACGCCAGTGTGAAAGGTAGGCAGGCCAAGAGAGAGAGAGCTCGGGGCCTGGCTCAGCCGGGTCTTCTGCTGGCATCGGGGAAGTCCTGACAGGGGGCTGCCCATTGGATTTCAGCTGGAGCTGGTCTGGCTCCAGTTTCTGCTTCTTTTCTTAACTGAGCGTGTTCTCTTGGCCCAGGTGTGCTCCGGGCTTCGTTGGGAACCCTAGCCAGGGTCAGCCCTGCACAGGTGAGTTCAGAGGAAGGAGGACAGGTGGGTGATGGGGAGTTGGCTATGTAGGGAGGGGACGCTTCCCCTGATAGGGTGGAATCAGAACTGGTATGGAAAGAAAGAGGGAAGAGCGAGGGAGGGGGAGGGGAGAAAGAGAGAGAAAAAGGAAGGAAGGAAGAAAAAAGGAAGGAGAGAAAGAGAGGGGGAGGGAGAGAGGGGGAGGGAGAGAGAAGAAGGAAGGAAGAAAATGAAGGATAGAGAGAGAGAAAGAGGAAGGGGGAGGGAGGGAGAGAGAAAAGGGAAGGAAGGAAGAAAAAAGAAAAAGAAAAAGGGAGGGGGAGAGAAAAAGGAAGGAAGGAAGAAAAAAGGAAGGGGAGAGAGAAAGAGAGGGATGGAGGGGGAGGGAGAGAAAAGAAGGAAGGAAGAAGAAAGGAAGGAAGGAGAGAGGAGAGGGACAGGGAGAGAAAAGAAGGAAGGAAGAAGAAAGGAAGGAAGGAGAGAGAGAAAGGGAGGGGGAGGGAGAGAAAAGAGAAGGAAGGAAGAAAAAAGAAAGAAAGAGAGAAAGGGAGGGGGAGAGAAAAAAGGAAGGAAGGAAGAAAAGAGAGAGGGGGAGGGAGAGAAAAAGGAAGGAAGAAAGAAAAAAGGAAGGAGAGAGAGAGAAAGAGGGGGAGGGACGGAGGGGAGGGAGAGAGAAGAAGGAAGGAAGGAGAAAGGAAGGAAGGAGAGAGAGAAAGGGGGAAGGAAGGGGGAGGGAGAGGAAAAAAGGAAGGAAGGAAGAAAAAGGAAAGAGAGAAAGAAAGAAACAAAAAATAACTTTAAGGCACAGAAGGGGAGGTGGAAAGGGGGAAGGAGGTGGGAAAGAACCTTCCAGAGTGCACCCCAGACCACAGCACTTTTTCTCTTCGCCTCCCTCCAGATTCCACCTCCGGATGCCATTGCAACCCACACGGCAGCCTCAGCAACCGCTGCGATGCCAGCAGGCAATGCCAGTGTAAGGTAGGCAGGGGGGAGAGGGAGGAGGGCGGAGGGAAGGGGCATGGTGCTTTCCACCTCCTCCTCACTGCCCCCTTCCTCTGCAGAGGAGGGCTAGCCTCGTCTCCCTCTTGCCCAGCTCCCTTGACTGACCCCCAGGTCTCCCGCCATGCTCCAGCCGGCCTTCCTTAGTTTGCTCCCTGCCTCTCCACCCAGAGCCTGTGTGTGTGTATTTGTGTCTTCCTGCTCCACGCCAGCTCCTTTTGCTTCCTTCCAGGACCACGTCGAGGGCCTCTCCTGCGGCAGCTGCCGCCCTCATCACTTCCATCTGAGTGCGGAGAACCCCCTCGGCTGCCTGCCTTGCTTCTGCATGGGAGTCACCCAGCTATGCACCAGCTCATCCTACCACCGCGATGTGGTAAGGCATGGGGCGGGGCCAATCAAAACGCGATTTCATTGAGGGCCGCATCAGGGTTGTGTTTGACCTCGGGTGTGTGTTTGGCCAGGTGGGCGTGGCCAGCTCGACGTAACTCCTGTCGGGGGGCCCGAGCGCTTTTGCCAGCGAAAATGGGCCCCCGAGCTCCGTTTTCGGCCACCACGGCCTCCTGCAACCCTCTGGCAGTGAAAACGGAGCTCGGGATGGCCTAAGTACCCCACGGGGCCAGATCCGGCTCCCTGGCCTTGAGTTTGACACCGTCAAACCTCTTACTACCGCTGCGGTAAGAGGTCACGGCTTCCTTCCTGGGCGGGGCAGTGGTATCAGAGGTCTTCTGACGGGCTTTTCCTCAGCCAATTCTGCCGTCCCCCCGCAGGTCAGCACCTCCTTCCATCCCGGCGACTTCCAGGGCTTCGCGCTGGTCAACCGGCAGCGCAGCGTCCGCCTCCCGAGCGGCTTTGCGGTAGAGATGTCCCCCGAGGGCCCTCAGCTCTCCTACGACCAATTTAGGGAGCTGAGCCAGGAGTCTTATTACTGGCAGCTGCCGGACGCCTACCTGGGAGACAAGGTGAGTCCGGGTGGGAGGGCAGGGCTAACCCGGCACCCTACAGGACATCTCTAGGAGCTTTGGAGGGGGGCGAAACCCTCCTGTCTGGCCAGAATGGAGGGGGCCTGTGCACAGGGAGGGTGCCCCATAGAGGACGCTGGCTCAGATCAGGAGCTTCTGTTCCATGAGGAGTGGGGGCGGGGGTGTCACAGGAAATCTCTTGAGTTTTCCTCTAGGGAACGCCGACAATTTATGTTCCTCTCTCCAGTCAGTGTGAGGGTGCGGGTAGATTCCGGAACCCATGTGCCTGGTGTCTGAACTGAGAATCGGAGTGAAGGGCACGCAATTTTCCTCCCTTTTCACTGGCATTCAGCCCTCCCGTTCCAACCAATGTGCCTCTATATATCCTCTATATATCCTCTATATATTTACAGTATTTTTTGGAGTATAAGACGCTCCGAAGTATAAGACGCACCTAGCTTTTGGGGAGGAAAACAAGAAAAAAAAATCTGCCTCTGCCTCCCAGCAATTTGCCTCCTAACAGCAAACAGCCCTTTCAGTTTCAGCTTCAGCACAGCCTGATTAGCACAAGCAGCTGATTGTCGGTTGGATCATCCTACCGACATCAGCTGTTTCAGACTGCAGGGATTGCCATAGCCTATTGCTGCTCTGCATGACCCATTTTCGGCCTCCGCATCCAGTTTCCAGCCTCCGCATGCCCCGTTTTTGGCTTCCACGTGCCCCATTTTCTGCCCGTTCCAGGCGGCGGGGATCGGTATGAGCAGAAAACGGGGCGCACGGTGGCCAAAAACGCACACGGAGGCCAAAAATGGGACATGGAGGCTGAAATTGGGGCATGCAGAGGTGGCAATAGGCAATGGCAATCCCTGCAGCCTGAAACAGCTGATGTCGACAGGCCGATCCAACTGACAATCAGCTGCTTGTGCTAATCAGGCTGTGATGAAGCTGAAACAGGCTGTTTGCTGCAAGGAAGCAAATTGCTGGGAGGCAGAGGGCAAAGGGTGGGGGCTGGCGGGTGGGTTACATTCGTATACGTCTTATATACTCATGTATAAGACATACCCAAATTTTCACTCTCTTTTAGGGGAAAAAGTGCATCTTAAACACCAAAAAATACGGTATATATCTATAAATACCTTTATATCCATCGTCCCTGAAATCCTGGGGTCGTCGCAGCATCAATATCTTTTCTCCCCTTTTGGCTCCACAGTGGGCAGAAGTGCGCAGGAGGATCAGGGAGTGGCATGTTGGGGGGCCTTTTTGCCCCCCCCTCCTGCCCCCCAAGACCGAGGCCAGTGTCTGTGGGGAAGGCAATGGGGAGATGGCTCTACTTGACTTCTCTGTTTCTTTTTCCTCCTTTTTCTTCCTTCTTTCCTGCCTGACCCGTTTGCCAGGGGGAGACCTATTATGCCCGGATGCGTCGTGCCCACAAGGTACGCTGACCCAGGCCCATCCAGGAGCCCCGGAGAGGCATGGGGCAGCTCCTAAACCTCTCTGGTGTTGGGCTGAGGAAACGCAAGGACTCAGACCTGTCTTGCTCTATTCTTTTTTGGCACCGGCGTCCTTCCAAATTTGCGCCCTTGCGTGTGGCGGCTCCTCTTGTTCGTGGCTCGCTGTGCCCACCGCAGTTGGGCAGCTAGCCTCCCCATTGCGTTCTTGAGCTTCCCTGGGGGACAAAGGGTGACGTGTGGGGTTGACGGCTTTGGAAGGGCAGCTGGCATGGCCCTCACCAGCCTGCCTCCCTCCCTCCCGGCAGAACTCCACGTCCCTCTCAGAGGAGCAGCTGAGGAAGGAGGTGGCCGCGGGACGGATCCCCGGCCCTCTGGCCCTCCAGAGCAGGGGCAGGCGAGCTGCTCAGGTAACGGGCCCGGGTGAGAGCTGCAGAGCCTCTCTGGCTCCAGGCTGTGCCACGGATGAGCAATGTGGAGTCAGTTCTGAGCCTGTCGGCTCTTGTGGACTTGGGAAGGGCCTGAGGAACTTTGGAAATCTGCCAGCCTCGTCTTCTCTTCTCTTCTCTTCTCTTCTCTTCTCTTCTCTTCTCTTCTCTTCTCTTCTCTTCTCTTCTCTTCTCTTCTC